AATAATTATTTGACTGATAACATTTTTTATTTCCTTATTTAATAATAGCCCCGGTTGTTAAGATTTGCATCCCCACTATTCGAGAATTGCGCGCGGAAGTGGGACAAGCAAGGCGCTGTGATTGGTGTTTGCGCCGTCCCCCTCTTTTGGAAAATGGCGCGCGCATGAACGCTATCCCCACTCCTCGCAAGCGTTATTCCGAGAATAAGAAAAAAGTTAAGATATAACTTTTCTCTTTACAAAAAATTATAATTCACTTTACTTTTCGTTTAACTAGCAAGAATTTAAAAATTAATTGCAAGTAGTAATAAAAAAAATAACGCTTTTTCGCATACAGAAATGCAAAAAGTATAATGAATATTGCAAAATGAAAATAATGTTACTAACTTGGGATTTATTATGAAAATCTACCATTAATAATTTCGTTTCGCGCTTGTGTGTGTGTGTGCTTTTATTATTTATTTATATATCGAATGTAACAATTGTGATAAATTGTAAGACAGCTATGTAATAAATCGTATAAACAGGTGTCGCAACGGGTAATTTTATTCGATGTAACATCCCTATGTGTCCGTAGCAGCAAAGACGTTTTTTTTCTTATCATTTTTTCTTTTTTATTTATTTTTTGTCTTCAATCCCTCTGGCGATGAGAGTGCGAATTCACAATATATCGAGTGCATAGACGCAAGACAATTTATTCTCGACACTGAATATAAAGTGTTACCATCAGGCGCATTGACTCATCCAGCACAGTTTACGATTAATCGTTCTCTGTCGTTGATAATCACATCAACAATTTTCATTTTTTCTTTCCAAATGGTAAAGACTCAAGGAGGTATATTATTTCCCCTTAAATATATGTATGTATGTATGTATGTATGTTTATATTTATTACAAACGCGAGCGTGTTTTCACGATACGAAACAATTCTTTTATTCCCAGGAAATAGGAACAATGGATAACAACTTTCTTTGAGTGGATGACTCGATAAATTCCTGTGCACACTATGTGTGTATATATACATAGTTTAAAAGAAGTTTCTTTTCCCGTTTTATAAAATATATGACTGAACGCTTCAGATAATTTATTGTATGCGAAAAAAAAATAATTTTGTTAATCGAAGTAATAAATTTTTAATTTTTTGTTCGTCATATTGCATTCGCGTTTTTGAATTCTAACTTTAGATTCGTATTCAGAGACTCAAAAACTCCCGAGTGACGAGATTTAACTGAATTCGATAAATTTTGAAATTTTATTCTGATTTTTAGAAAAACAAATAAAGAAATATATTTATATATATTAACTAACGAATTCTTACATAAACTAACCTTTTTGTGACAGTAATAATTCATACTACAGATTTAAATTCTAGAACGTTAAAACTCTACACGTAAAATTCCACACATTTAAATTGCACACCATTAAACTCTTCACAAATTTATTTTATAATAGAAAATAAAATTTGTTAAACCGTACACAATTTGTTTTTTAAATTCTACACAATAAAATTGTTGGGTCTAGTTAGTATGGAATTAAAAATTTTTAAATTTGCATAGCTCTACGTAATTAAAATATTAAAAATAGATGAATTCCGGTTACCAAGAATCTGCCTTATAAGACAAATCGAATTAATGAAAAGCTCATATCCTGCTACCAAGTATTGGGTTATTCAATTAAATGTACTTCTTGCCAAAATAAATATGTCAGTATTGACAACCCTCTCGTTTAAAGTATGATTGGAAAGCTTGGTTATAGCATTGGAGAAATACGAACGATTCTTAAAATTTACTGAAGTACTTAGGTATGAAAGGTCTGAATCAAAAATGCTCCGAATACTCAGAGCATTAGTAGATAAGGCTTCTTTATATTTTTTTAGATAACGTAAGTTTTTCTTAACAAAAATTTTCGCACACCTAAGGCTAACAACAGAACATCTTGTCAGATTTACATATGAAGATAACATCTATAGTTAGGACCCGAGTTTGATCTGCTCGTTATATAATCTGTGTGAGAAAGGGTCTTTAGGATAAGGATAAACACCATTAATTAGACAAAATTTATAACAATAACACTATTCATTAATATTCACTTCAAATTTTAGAAAAAGTTAAATAATGGCAGAAGGCCGAAAGACAAGATTTATATTTTATTTATTCAATTATACTTTAATAATAATAATGAGATCGATTCTGAGGGAAACAACTCCTAATTAATTTATTGAGACTCACCGTCCATTTGACGACGACGATGACACCTCCTCGTCTCATTTTTATAATTTTAAATTTTAATTATTTTACACGAAAAAGAATAGAACACAACTTGACTCTACAAACACCAGGATGAGAATGAGAGTAAAATGGCTGACGAGTCAAACTCGAAAGCGTCGCTAAACAGCAACGTGTATTAGTGTCTAGTTTCATTGAGATCAATTAATATTCAATAATATAATACCCGTGATCGATAATCGATACGCAGTTGTCGGTAACGCAGATCTCTACACTATCCCATGTTATATTGATTGATGCGAAAAGTTCATAAGAAATTGACTGCCAGTATTGATTTGACAGATCGTCAATAAAACAGCAATTTCGTCTTCCTTGTGTTCTCGTAGTGTTCTTAAATATTCGGGACTCTCATCCAAATATATGTATACATCAGGAAGCTCTTCCTTTGATGACTTCTAATTTCAATGATAGATAGTGATGTCCTCAACGTCTTCGTGACCTGGCGAGAATCCTCAATGCCTCGCGAGAGTTTTCATAACAGAACGATTCTGATTTGACATCAGAATCGAATTTATTTATTATAAGTCGACTATTAATCTGACGACTTTGGCAAGTTGGTTTGTTAATACGTGAATTTATTATTTAAACAAAATAAAGTGAGAATAAACACAGAATAAATAAGTACCCCCACAGCACAGAATAAACCTATTGGTACAATAATCTACTTTTGGCGAGAATTAAATAAATCTTGGACAATTCGAAGTCCGGAGCACTGGTACCTACTGTTATCCAGAGGCCCGAAAACTATCTAGATAAAATCATAAAACTTCAACATTAATTGGTTCTGTGGCCCAACTGCCTTACCTCAAGTTTTAAAGTGCAGTTTCGTAAGAATTTCGTCTAAACAAATAGAAGTAAGAACTATTTAAAATATTTATGAACATTTCTATTTCTCTATATTATTTTCTTAGTGATTTAAATTTTATCCTTGTGAAATGTTTTCGTCTTTAGGTTTACAAAGACTGTTCGCCAAAGATCACTTTATCTCTTATTCAGAATTTAACAAATCAAACCTAACTTTAAATTAAACACAATTTAAATAAGTATCTAAACCTAGAGGTTAATATTTCGAGTACATTCTAAAATTAACTATAAATTTTGATCTGATTTATACCATCCTTTTAACGTTTTTTAACCTTTTATTCTATCATATCCTAATTATTAGCAATTCTTTCTTCCTTTTCCTTTGCTTTAATTGCATTTACAATATTTAATTTATTAAAGACGAAATTCTCTTTCCATACTGTACCCTTAGTTCAAAACCTTCTGCTCTGTAAATGAAACAGAAAGTATCACTGAATCACCAAAGCGGACAAAATAGATATAAATCTTATTTGTTTAGTTATTTCTCTATTTTGAGACGTAACACTATTATAAAATACATTTGTGAAGTGTTTAACGGTGTAGAATTTAATAAAAATAAATTTAAATATTATAATATAAGTTTTGCGTAGAGTTTAACATTGTACAATTTAAATATATAGAATTTAAAAAATAAATTCTGTACTGTTTAACGGTGTAGAATTTTACGTGTAGGGTTTTAATATTGTAGAATTTGTAGTATTTGAACCGTCCCCTGGCACTGAGTATAATAGCCCCAGATGATTGAGTAAAATAACCCCAATTGACGATAGTTATAATTTTAAAAAAATATCAAATGCTCACATTTTTGCTGTTTGATCAATTAAGAAATTTCACCGCGTATAAGAAAAGCGAACGATATAGAAAAGTTGAAAAATACTATATATACACTTATACAATTCATTCCTTGTGGCAATATATAGCGGCGCGGCTGCGACATTTAGAAGCAAGGTGAGTGGAGTTTTGCCATTTGAAAAGAACAAAAAGGTTGCCTATTTGAAGTCGTAATTATCATTATAACTTTCCAGGTAACAGTGAAGAAAACTTTTGTTTGTGTATATTGCTCGAATCAAGAGAGAAAGTTATATATATATATATATTTATATTGGAGAGGCGAAAATTTGTATAATCGTACTTCGTGAATCTCGCACGATTCTCAATCTGAAAAACAGAGAGCCGGAATTTTGCTCCTGCTCGTCCTGAATTCCAATTGCACCAGCAGAAGACATACCGACCTTTCGAATCTTTACCAGATCGTAAATTTGATTGAGAGCGCGTTAAAACGTGTATATATATATATGTATACCATATAGTTACGAATCAAACTGTAATTTCTTTTTCATTCGTCCACGCTCACTCTTGTGGGAATTAAAAATAATTTGTAATCGCTTTAAAAGAAACTCTGATTTTCAGTTGTGCAAAAAAAAAATGACTTTAATTAACTTACTGACACATTGTTGCCTCTTTTTCTTCTTATCTTTCATATATATACATTGAGTGGCACACTCGGGAGAGAATATTATTGTTATCTACTTAATTAATGTATCACTTTTTTTTCATTTTTAATAAACAATTTCTTTTTTAATTACAAATTTTATATGAAGGATTTCAAGTGAAGAGATCAAGGTGAAAAATAATGATAATAATAATAATTTTCTTTCGTTTCGGTATCAAAACTATACAAAAAAAATGTTAGATTCAACAAAACATAAATGTTATTTTCAAATTCGATATTTTTAATTTTTTATTTCAATTTTTTTTTTAATTTTTCTTTAATTGCTTTATAATAGATAGAAAAAGAAATTAATTAATAATAATAAAATAAAAATTTTAATTATTTTCCAATTTCTTAAAAAAATATAATTCTATAAAAAAAAAATTGAGTGAAAGCAAAAGATTCATCGAATTAAAAATTGATTATCGTCTTTGCGAATAAAATGAAATTTCCTCAGTCGTCGCGCATTCAACTTTTGACACAGCCAATCGAAAATCACGATTCGCCTATCACGAGAAAGGCGTTTAATGGTAATATCAAAACGGTTTACCAATTGCTTAGATCTAATCAGTAAATGTGGCAACAAACTCGTGTGGTTCTTTTGATCCGATATTGAAAATTTCTCATTGTTTCTCGACTCTTTTTTTTATTTCATTCTTTTTTTCTTTTTTATTAATTTCCTTTTTTTTTATTATTTCAAGAAAGAAAAATTGGTAATAATATAAAAATTTTGAAAATAAAAAAAAATACAAAAATGTGTCATTGTATTTTATTTTTAATGTTTTTTCTTAAAATTTTTTTTATTAATTACAAATACATTTTTGTTATTATTATTTCCCAACAAGTAATGGGAGAAGAAAGAAATCCACGTGAAACAGTTAGACAAATTAATCAAGTTAGTCAAGATTGGATGATGGAAATTTTAAATGTTAATAAAGAACTTTTAGACGTTCATGCTGTAATTGCTAAGGACGAGGAATCAACGACCAATTGTATGATGGGCACAAAAAAAACGTGAGAAACTTTTTAATTAGTTTCATTTTTATAATTTAAAATGAGTTGAAAATTTCCCGCGAATTTTTTTTTTTATTATTTAAATGTTATCTTAGTTAACGGTATTGTTTTTACATATATATGTTTTCCAAAATTAATAAAAATAGTTAATTAATTTTCCAATTTGTTTTAAATTAATTGAAATAACTATAGATAATTTAAACAAAATTAATTTTAAATTCAAATAATTAATTTATTTTGTTTTTTAAACATTTTTCATTATTATTTTAATTTACATTATTTAATGTAAAATGAAAAATTAAAAAAAATTTAAATTTTAACACAACAATATAACAATTATAAGTGTTTATAAAAAAATAGTAAGTTTTAATTATTTAATAATAAAAAATAAGTTTGTTTATAAAAAAAAATAATTATTTATAAATTTAAAAATGTTTTGGATTTTTTCATTTAATTATAGAAATAAAAGACATTTAATGTGCGTTGGTTCAATAGTGAATGTTCAGCACGTCTTAACATCCGCTACCTGTATTCAAGAAGCTACTTATATTAGGTATGATTCGACATTTATGGAGTTGGTCCTCAAGGTTTTGCATGCCAGCTAAAGTCTAGCATATCAATTTTATTCTTTTAATAAATAAAATTTTTTTATTTATTATCTTTTAACAAAAAAAAATTATTATTATTATTCTAAAATTAACCTTTTATCAATTTTCAATTTTATTAAATAAATATTTAATATAATAGTTAATAAATAAATAAATAAATTTTTGTTGGATTTGTAAATTGTAGTTAGGATGTTAAAATGTTTTTTTAATATTATTTTTAATATAAAATTTTATAATATTATTAAAAAAATTAAAAAAAAACATTCTAATATCCTAATTACAATTTTAAATAAATTAATTAATTTTATACAACAAATTTATTAAATATAATTTTTTTACATATAAAAATATTTTTTTGTCATTAAATAATTTTTTATTTATTTATTTAATCAATCAATGTTGTTTTTTTTTAATTAAATTTTTTTTTTCGTTTATAAATAATTAAGAACGGTTAAATTTTTATGAGTTTTTTTTTTTATAAAAAAATAAAATAAATTTCATTATGTAAAATTGTTTTACAAATATTATATTTAAGAATTCGAAAATTTATTTTTTTAGACATAATTTGAAAGCTCCACTTGTTGTGGTTGTTGGTTTATTAAAGCCAAAACCGCAAGTGATTAGAGTTAACAATTATGAAGTTCATCCTCAACATATCGCCTTTCCTTACAATTCTCAACATTCAATGCATAATATTGCTGTAATCAAATTAGCCTGCAGGTATTGTTTTAATACAAAAACAAAAAATTATAAATAAAATTTACTACATTTTTTTATAATGTTAGTGAATTTTTAAAAATTTTAATTTTTTATTTTAATACATATAATAATAATAATAATAAAAAGAATAATAGTAATGATAATAATAATATAATGTTATATTAGTATTATATTATTATATATTATATTATATATTATATTATTATTATATTATTATGAAAAATATATTTTGTTATCCAATTTTTAGAATTGCTACGGAACATTTTACACCGATTGAATTACCAAGAGCTCCATTTACAGAACTTTGTCCAAATGATAATTGCATGGTGGCTATAATCAGGAAAGTTGGGAAAGTAATTTAAATAATTTATCTACTAATTAAACTCAATTGAAATTAAATGTTAAATTCTATAATAAGAGTCACAATTTCTAGTTAAATATTTATAATAATAATAACATAATGTTATACACCTATATAATATTATAATATTATTATTATATTATTTAAAGTCCTCGAAATATTTATTATCAAATTAAATTAATAATAAATATATATAAATAATTAGTAATTTAAATAAAAAAAGAGCCTGTGTATGTTAAAAAGTTAATTCATAACTTGTCAATTTATTTGTTTTGTTTGGAAAAAAATTTCTGTTTTTTTTTAGACATCAAATGTAATATACGATACATGGGCAAAGCACATACCACCCGTAACCAGAGGAAAACGAGGATTGACGGAAACGACTATAGAATTACAAAATAACAACAATTTGAAAACACCACCTGTCAATATTCAAGAAAAATTGAGGGAAACGTTAGTAAATCCACGTCCACTTAAATTGAACGCAGAGCAAGACATATTGTCCAATAACATCAGCCAGACTACTATTACAAAAAAATTGTCTAAAATGACAAAATCAATGGCAGTAAAAAACAATGTGAAAGAAAAACGCAATTTTTCCCTTCAAAATGTGCCTGAAGGTATGTAATTTGGATTAATTTTTTTTCTCCCAATGATTTGTGTTTCAAAAGGCTTGGGATTAAAAGAATTTGAATTAAAAAATTAAAATGTTTAAATTTGAGAATTTAAAGACTTGGTATTAGAACTATTAAAGTATTTTGGATTTAGAAATTTAGGATTTAAAGATTTTACAAGTTAGGATTTTAATTTGGATTTAGAGATTTAACAATTTAAGATTTTAATTTGGATTTAGAGATTTAACAATTTAGGATTTTAATTTGGATTAAGAAATTAAGAACTACGAGATTTTAGAGTTAGGCAGTTAAGTCTCGTGGAGTTATAGACTTGGTGATTTGGAACTAAGAAGCTCTTAATCCTAATCCTATAAATTCTAAATATCTAAATTTTAAGACTTGATGTCATTAAATTCTAAATCTAAGTCTTAATATCTGTAAGATCAAAATCCATATGTACTACGTTTTAAAATCCTAAGCTTAAAAATTCCAAATCCTATGGCACAGTATCTTTAAAGTCTAAATCCTAATTCCCTATGTCTTAAACTTCTAAGTCCTAAACCCTCAATCCTAATTTCCTAAGTCTTAAATTTCTAAGCCCCTAAATCCTCTATAAATTATGTTTTACGACCTAAATAAGTCCTAATATGTCTAAAATCCTAAATCAGTAAATTCTAAATTCTAATTATTTAAATCCTAAATGTTTACGTCATATTGAGTCCTAAACTTCAAGTATCAAATTAGTTTAGAAATTTTCAACTTGAAAAAATATGGTGTACTTTATAAAGACTTAAGATTCAAAATTTACCTACTGTAAGATGTTAAACTTAAGGATTTTAGAACTTTAGGCTATACAAAATTTTAGTAAACTATAAAGTTATAACTAATAAATTATAAACTTTAAAATTATAAATGTTTTTAGTGTTTTCAAAATTTAAATAAATAAAATAAAAAAAATTTACAGTAAGTTCAACGGCTAATGTTAAAAATAATAATAGTGTTATTGACGAATACGCAATTCAAGGCGATTCTGATAGAAATGACAAAGTACGATTATTTTCTACAAGAGCCAGTGATGGATTTCAAGGATGTCCGCAGTCCGGATCACCTGTTATGTTCGGAAAGGTTCAGGTACCATATCATTAATGACTAAACTCTTTCTAATAATAGCTTATAAACAATTGAATAGAAATAGAAAATAAAATCCTCCCAATAAATCTTTAAAATTATATATATATATATATATAAAAATATAATTTTTTTCTAAATTGGAAAAGTATAGGGGAATGTAGTCATCAGTGGACCACCCTAGAAAAATCATTTTAAAACTTCTTAAAATTCGTTAAATATCTTAGAATTTAAATATTTATTGAATAATTATTTACTTAAAATACTTTTTAATGAACATGATAAAATTAAAAAATTGTAATCATTAAATTACGTTATATTGGAGTTTCGTGACGGTTTAAAACATTTTCCTATTTTTAAATTAAAAAAAACAATTTTTAAAATGCAGAAAAAATTATTGTGAATTAAATTTAGTGATTTATATTTATTCAAACGTCAAATATGTAATTGGGAAAAACTTAGGTGGTCCACTAATGAAAATCAAACCATTTATGAACATAGACGCGGCATTTTTGTGAACACTTTTTTTGAAAAAACATTAAAATTTTTGCTAATCCGTTTTTTCATGATTAATTTCATTGCCTAAATTACATAAGTAATTTAGAGTACAATATCTATTTTGAAGTCCAGATATCTAATAAATTATGTATAGCTCAGATTTTTTAATAAAAAACCTTTTTTTCATTTTCACAAAAATTCACTTTTTCCACTTGTGTTGATTTTTTCTTTATAAAGTTGTAATTTTTTGCACTGAAAGTGAATTATTATTACGTTTTAGAAAATTTTTTCCTAATTACAAAAAAATTAATTTTTTTTTTTGTAATTTTAGTTTAGGATAATTCTCATGTTTTAAGTGATTTGAATTTTTAAATGTCAGCATTTATAATTAACCGAATCTTTATTTAAACAAATTGTTATTTGACAAAATTTTTAAACCATCAAATCTTCATTATTGCAAATGACCAAATTAAAAAATCGACCTCCAAAAAGCAAAAAGATACTTATTTTAAACACTTGGAAATTTTTATGCACAGATTTATTTTACATTAAAAAAACCAGGAAGTGGTCCACTCATGAAGACGGTCCACTTATGACTGCAATGCCCTAATTTTTTTTTCTCTTTTAAATATACAGGCAGCTTTAGTGTCAGTGTCGTGTGATGATAGACAACCAGGTACACCGTGGAAGTATACCGACATTTTTTCAAATCTCGATTGGATTGAAAAAGAAACGGACACTTGGCACAATGATACTAAAAGTCGTGCTGATTCATCATTGGGTTGCACTACATGTATTTATAATTTCTTTATTGATCTCACTGGACCCAATGAAACAGATAATTGCACTGATCTCAATGAATTTAACGACAAATCAACCAATTACAAAATTTGTGCATCAAACTATCAACAAGAAAATATGAAAAATCATTATTCACGCTCAATATCAGACAATAAATTATATAATTCATTGAGTGAAAAATTTTCCAAATTTTACGAAAATACCCTAAAAAATAAGAAATCCCTTGATAATCAATTAAATAACAAAACAAGACACAACAGTGATTCCACTAACAAAAATAGTAAAAATAATTTTGATGCCGATGTTACCAAAGCTAACGCAAAACTTCCAGCTAAAATTTTCGATACAGTTGTTAAAAATCTCAAGAGTAAAGATTTTAGAAAAACAATTGAAACATTTCAAAAGAACAATGATTACAAAAATTCAAAAGCTAAAAGTAAGAAATTGAAAAAAATCATAGGAAATAAAAATTCACAGACAAATCAAAAAGGATTTCACAATATAGAAAATAAAAATGATTATCTTGGAAAGAAAAATTTTTACAGAGATGATAATAAAGAAAAGAAATTACAATTAGACAGTCATCGTGAAAAAATTATGAATGAACCAAACAAGAATGAGAATTTATTATCAAAGAAACATGAATCAAAAATTGATAAAACTCCAATGAATGCATTTGATTATTCAATGATAAAAAAGATGATCAACTCACAACCGAGTATTGATTATAATAATCCATTAGTAAAGAAGTTCCACAACCTCCGGATGTTCCTGGCACGTCTCCAAAAGTCAACGGCAGACAAGCATCAGGAAATAAGGCAAACGCCCATGATTGGAAAACCAATAGAAATTCTGCCATATGGAAGATTTTTTAATCCCCCAATAAAAATTCATGAAAAATGAAAAAAAAATTCATTTCAAAACGAATTTTTACTGTATAGAATTTTTAGGAAGAAATTTTTATTTTACAGAATTTCATTTTACGGAAAAATTTTAATGTAACCGAATTTTAATTTATCAGAATTCTTATTCAATATAGAATATTTTAAGAGTTATTTCGAATTTTTAAATGCTAGGATTTCCAATTCACCGAATCTTCATTTCACCAAATTTTTATTTGTACAAATTGTTATTTAATAGAATTTTTAAAATAACGAATTTTTATATTGTAAATAAATACAGTAAATAATTCCACTCAGAAAAAAATTTTATATTGCTAAATAAAAAAATAATAATTGAAGTGTATTATTGTTGAATTTACATTTTTACCCTTTCATTTTGCTTAAAAGAGAAGCATACATTGAGTGTATAATTTGAAAAAGGAAATGAGAACTTAAAGGATAGATGACTTTAATTTCACATATGGATTTAGTGGTGAATAGAAAGTTCCATTTCCTAATAATATAATATAGAAGCGCTTATTTGGGAATTTTCTATTCTGAAACCACAAATTATAATTGAAATCAAAATCACTTCTATTTTCAATTATTTATTAGAAAAAAAAACAGTTTCTTTTATTAAAAACACAATTTCCTTTAAATTGAATAAATTTTATAATAACTTTAATATACGATTAAAAAAAAGGGGAAATTAGTGGAATAATGTACATTATAATTGTACAAAATAAATAAATAAAATAAAATCTATATGGTTAAAAAAATATTTCTCTTATCTTGTGTCTTTTTACCATAAAATCTTAAATTTCTTAGTTACTAAATTCTAATTTCTTAAATTACAACTTATAATGTTCCTAATTCCTAGATTCTAAGCCTCTAAATCCTAATTATTTTAGTTACTAAATCCTAAATCTCTAATTCCTAATTTCCAAAATTTCGACTACTAACGTCCATAATTCCTAAATTCTGAATCCTAAATCCCTAACACCTAACTTTTTTATTCGAAAGAATTCTTTTTAACGCGAATTTTTATTTATCAAAATATTCTTATTAAACAAAATTTCGTCTGCGTCAAATTTTTAAATGACAAAATTTTTATTAAACCAAATCGTCATTTATCCGAATTTCTATTAACACAAAATTCATTTTGAATTCCAAATACCTATTTAAATTATGTATAGCTCAGATTTTTTATTAAACAACCTTTTTTATTTTCACTAAAATTCACTTTTCTTCGATTTGTGTAGATTTTTTTCATACATAGAATAAATTTCTTGCACTGAAAGCGAATTTTCATTTACGTTTCAGAAAATTTTTTCCTAAGTACAAAAAATTAATTTTTTTGTAGGTAATTTCAATCTTTTTTACCGCTACATTTCAAAAAATACAATTTCAAATAAAAGTCTCAAGGAGCTGAATAAATGGGGCGCATGATTAACCCATAAAAATTATATAATAAAAATTTGATTACCTAGAAATTCTGTTAAGTATAAATTATGGTTAATTTAAATGCAATTAAACATTAATTCCAAAAAAGTAAAATTTAATAAAAATTTTATAAAATGAAAATTCTAAATAATTCACATTATGGAACAATCATGCGTCCCGAATTTCTCATTTGTTTATAAAATCTCTTTTATGTGTAAGTTTATTTGATACAATTATAATTAAAAAACCGTGATTTACTATAACATTACATTGATTGAGATTTGCATATTTTCCTATAAATTATTGATAATTTGTAAAAAAAAAAAAAAAAATAATCACGATTTCTTATGAAGGTTACAGAAAAGTTCCCAGCTAATGAAACACGCCTTGCATTCATTTGATAACTACACACACACACACACATTTATATCCACATCTGTATATATAAATCTGCGGTGCACTGTTCTTTAATATTAAGAATTCAATCATCTAATCGGGTTTGTTAAAAGCTCTTTTCCACTAACTTTATCAAGTATTGACGATCATTTCACCACACACACACACACACATTAGTGAAATGTAAATATCTCCTAATACACCAAAGGAATCAAACTTGTAACATTTTAATGACCATTGATTAAAAGTCGTTTTATATCTCGAGGGTGGCACACGAGCATTTCTTGTCAACAATAATAACAACAACAAAATTACAATGAAAAATACTATGCCTATTGATGGAAAAAAAATATACAGCAAGAAACAATGTTTTATGCTGGTTTAAACAAGCATCAACTATATAATAGGCTTTTCAGTATTTTTCCCAACTTGTTAAAGATAAATTACCAACTTCTATTCTTCCAATGAAGTTACGGGATAACAAAAAATAAAAAAAAAAAAAAAAAAAACGATATCGTCATGGGTCTAAAACTGTTAATACTTTTACTGTTACTAGTGATGCGTTCCAGTCTGTCGGAGAAAGCTGACAATCATGGTAATAAACTGCATGATAATGATTTTAAAAGGTTGATTAACGTGAATTATGTTTGGAGGAATTTCTTTCAAAAATATTCAAAATTATTTCGTTTCAGATAAACTAGCCAATGGGATAAAGAAGAATCATCGATTTGTGCAAAATAATTTTTCAGAGGTAAAATTATTTTTTGTCATTTACAATTATTATTATTATAAGAAATATTTATTTATACTTCACTTCAATTCAATAAAATTGCACTAAACTACAATTAATTATCTTAGCCGAAAATTTCTAAGTTCTAAGTCTTAATATCTTTAGTTTAAATCCTAATTTTCTACGTATCTAACTCCTAAACCTTTAAATTCTAAATTTGTAGTATCTAAATCCTTAAGTTTTAAATCTTAAGTGTAAATAAAAATTCCTTGAAACTTAAAGTTCTGAGTATCTTAATCCTAAAAGTTAACTCTATACATTCTAAATCCTGTGTATATAAAAATATATAAATTTCTACCCTTAAATTTAAAATTAATATTCTATAAATTTAAAATTCCCAGTCTATACGTTGTTAAGTTTCTTAATTATAAGTCACAGGATGTCTAAGATCTAAATCCTTAATCCTAAGCCTGGAAATTCTAAATTCTAATTACTGAAATCCTAAGTTTTTATATCCTTAAATTATAATTCATATAAGTATTAACACCTATAAGATCTAAATCACTATTTCCTAAATCTTAAAATTCTAAGATTTTAAATTCTAAATCCTAAAACTAAACATCCTTAGGTCTAAATCCTAATTCCCTTAGTCGTAAACTTTAAAGTCCCTAAATCATCAATCCTATAATTTATAAATTATAAAACATAACTAACTAAATCCTAAATGTGTATATTGTTAAATCCTAAATGATTATTAGTCTCAACATATCTAGAATCTAAATCCTTAATCCTTAACTAGTCAATTCTAACTATCTAAATCATAAGTCTTTACTTGATTAAATCCTAAATCATAAGTTTTAATATCTGTAAGATCTGAATTCTTATTTTCAATGTCTTAAAATCCTAAGCTTTTAAATCCTAAAACTTAACGTCTTTAAGGTCTAAATCCTACTTTCCTAAATCTGCAAATTCTCAATTTTAACTATCTAAATCCTAAATGTTTATGTTTTTAAGATCTAAATTATAAGTCCTAATATGTCTACAATCAAAATCCTCAATTCTAAGCCTGGAAATTCTAAATTCTAATTATTAAATTAAATTCTTAATCATGTAAGTCTTAACACCTATAAGATATAAATTTTTATTTCCTAAATCCTTAAATTCTATGCATAAGCTTTCAAATTCTAAATCCTAATTTCCTAAGTTTCATTCTTCTAAATATCTAAATCCTTAATCCTAAGCCAGTAATTTCTAAATTCTTATTATCTAAATCCTAAGTCTTTATGTCATTAATTTCTAAAGCATATAAGGCTTAAAACCAATAAGATCTAAATCCTTATTTCCTCAGTCTTAAAATCCTAAGCTTTTAAATTCTAAATCCTAATTCCCTAAGTTTCAAAGTTTTAAATATCTAAATCCCCAATCCTAAGTCTATAAATTATAAATATAACACACGCCAACAAAATTAAAAAAATTTTTGGTGCAGCAAATTTCAAAGCTGTTTCTAATAGGTTTTTGACAAAATTTAAGTACCTCTAGCACTAAAACAAAAGGTCGTAGAACCTTCCACTTGGGCTTAAATTGAAGCTCAATGTTTCAACTATATAATCCCCAAGAATCACCTTTCTTACACCATGACCTCAAAGTCATTTGTAATCCATTTTTGAGTTGCAAAAATTAATTTTGTAATAATTTGAGAGCGTATACCTCCAGCGATGAAATGAAAGATCATATAACCTTTTTTTTGGCTTAAACTAAAATTTAAACTTTAGACTACAATCCCTAAAAGTTAATTTCCAGCACCTTAACCTCAAAGTCATTGGTAATAAATTGTTTACTTTCAACAAAGGAAGCTATTTTAACAATGGTTACCAACAATTTTGAGGTAAGTGTTGCATCAATATAATTTTTAGGGATTGTAGTCTAAAGTTTAAACTTTAGTTTAAGCCCAAATAAAAGGTACTATGGCCTTTTTGTTTCATTGCTAAAGGTACGCGTTCAAATTTTTCCAAAATTAAATTTTGCGACTCAAAAATGTAATACAAATGACTTTTAGGTCATGGTGAAAGGTGCTTTTTGGGGATTGTGGTAAAAACCTTTATCTTCAATTTCAGCATGAAAAAACCTATCATAAACAGCTTTGACAATTGCCGCACCAAAATCAGTGTTATTGAATAAAAATAAAAAAAAAACCTAACTAAATAAACCCTAAGTGTTTACATTGTTAAATTCAAGATTATTATTAGTCTTAACATATCTAAAATCTGAATTCTTAATTCTAAACAAGTAATTTCTAAGTTCTAAGTATCTAAATCCTAAGTTTTTATGTCCTCAAATTCGAAATACTAATTAATTATAATTTTCTAAATCTTTAAGTACTGAGGCTCTAAATCCCAAATCCTGTGAAATTGAAATCCTAAGTCTAAAGTTCCTAAAATTCAATAGCTGATAAAATTCTTTTAAAAAAAAAATCGAATTTTACATAGAAAATAAATTCAATTATTTTTTTTCTTACAAAACATAAAAAAAATTTTAATTCCCTATTTTTAAATCCAAATTATTCATACATAATGCAAAAATTTCAAATTCTCCAGAATTTTCAAGATTTAGAGCCAAAAGCAATTCAAGAAGATGACAGACATGGATATTTAAATATTTCCACAATAATGACACCTCTCAATCATCAATACCGACAAGTATATAATTCTTATGAAAATTTGTTCATGTATAAATATCTGATCATGCGTATTCAGAGAAATTTTTTAATTCTAAGCGTGATTTGAATTTTTTTTTTTTTTTAAATATACAGTCACTTTGGATGAAACGCAAGGCGTCAATCTTGAATAAGGCGGAAAAATCCGACCGGAAGAGTAAGAAATTGCGCACCGTTAGTGCCAATGAACTTGAGGCAAAAGAAGAAGATGATGATGATGAAGAAGAAGAAGAAGAAGAAAAAAAAGAAGAATACCAAGAAGAAATTACTGTCATGAATGAACGAAAGAAAAATACATTGTCTTTTGTTTCAACAAATTCAGATCAAAAAAATCATTGGAAGGTCAAATCACTTCACTTTAAAACAAGAGCAAAGAGGCAAGCACAAGAATTATGGATACAAAGAGAATTTCATGGTTACGATGACATTCTCAATTTGCATGCATTCATTATTCGCGATGAAGAGATACCACAGTGTGGAAATTCTGCCAATAAAATCACGTAAGTAATATTTTTTTAAAAAAAAGTTAAAACCGTCATAATGAGAAAAATAATTTTCATTTATATTTTTTTCCATTTCTCATAAGGGTATTTTTACTTTCTTTTTGTTCGAAAATTTAAATTTTCAGAGAAATAATCAAAAATATAAATTTCGCTTTTTGTAAAATACCGTCAAACGGGGCTATTTTGGTATATATATACACAAGGGGCTATTATGGTACAAGTTTTTAATTTGTAAAATTAATCATAATAATCATTAAATAGAATTTTTATTTTAAAGTACAAAAATAATTATTTTTTAAACAAATTTTCAATTTTTGAATTAAAATTTTCTTTTTATACGAATTTTTAACGAAGCTGTGAAGTACGCATAACGTTTATGATAAACGATTTTTAAAGAAATAATTTTTTTAAATGAAAAATTCTATAATTTTTTGCTTAAAAAATATTTCTTGTTGTTTTCATTAATCAATAAATTATAAAAAAATATTTTTTAGGCAAAAAATTATAGAATTTTTCCAAATAAAAAATTATTTCTTTAAAAATCGTTTATCATAAACATTGCTTACTTCAGCTTCGTAATTTTTACATATAACAAAATTTTTAGCCACCGAATTTTTGTTTGGCAGAATTTTTATTTTACAGTCATTTTCTTTAGATGATTTTTTTATTTAAAAGAATTTTAATTTAACAGAATTTTTATTCAATCGATTTTTACGTGAGTTGATTTTTAAAATGCAAATGACCGAAGAAACATAACCTAGAAAAAAAAATTGGCGCGATTTTTAAAATACAACGAATCAGAAATTATCAAGAAAAACGAGATTGGGCAATTTTAAAAATTGCGCTAAAATCGATCCGTGTTGTTTGTAATTTCGGACAAATGAAAATTCGGCGTCTTCAAATTTCTATCAATTAAAAATTCGTACAAATAAAAATTCAAACAACTTAAAATTTAAAAAAAGTTTAAAATATTTTTCTATAAAGATTAGAAATTTGGTTTAGCATAGAAGAAAAAAAATTGCGATTTTTGTACCATAGTTAATTTCTTGAAAAAAGACCTAAATTTTTTTTTTTTTTTTTTTTGAAAAATTGTTCAAAAAGTAAAGGAAAAAATATTTTTCCAAATGAATTATTACGATTTTCAAAATTTCATATTTTTAAAAACATATAATATAATTTTTTACGGAATATTTACTCACAAATATGTTTCTCAAAAGTAATTGTACTGAAGAATATAACTCACCTGAAACAAAGGAAAAATAAATGTCATTATTAGTTTTGTCAAAAACAATTTTACTTGAAATTTATCTGGAATTAGAAATAGAAAATTATAAATTACATATAAAAATAGTTCAGTTAAATAAAAATTTTTAAATACGAAAATTTAATTTAATATATATTTTAATTTATATAAAATTCGAAAACAGAATTTCGAGGTTATTAATTTCGACACTGTAGAAATTTTCAACAAATTCATGCCTTCTTTTTGTACATTTTTAGAAATACACGTTACTTCATGTGCAGCGGAGTTATTTTAACGAAAAAATTTATATTAACAACAGCATCCTGTATTCAATATGCGGATATTTTTGAGTAAGTGAATTCATTTTTCCAATTTTTAAATGCCAAAATTTCCAATTTATTGAATTCTATTAAAACGGAGAATTTACCTTTCACCGAAAACTATAAATGACCGAATAAACATAACCTACAAAAATAATTCCCCGCGATATTTAAAATTCGACGAATCAGAAATTATCAAAAAAAAAAAAAAAAAAAATTGTGATTGGTCAATTTTTAAATTCGCACCGAAATCATTTTTGTTTACTGTTCATTTGTAGTTTCGGACAAATAAAAATTCGGTGAATTAGAAATTCCGGGTAATTAAAAATTCAAATCGTTTAAAATTTTTTTGAATGAGAATTTTGCTAAATTAATATTCGGTTAAATTAGAATTTTTTACATAAAAAACTGGGTAAAGAGAAATTATGTAAAATAATTTTGATACAGTTTAACATTTTTTAAATGTTTTCATGGAGAAAAGTGCGCGCGCAACAGTCGAAAAGTGAAGAAATACTAAAGGACCAATCACGTCACTCTACCCCCACTCCTGATCGATAGCCGCAACGCATTTTTCTCAATTTTATTTATTTTTTTTTTAATTTTTTACAATTTTTTTTTATATTTTGGAAAAATTTCCTTCGAAACAATAAATATTTTTTTTTAAATTGTAAAAATATCACCAATACAAATTTTTCTATTAATATCAAAACAAAAATGATGAAAAAAAAAAATTGAACAATTCTTGTAATATAGCATTTTTTTTTCTTTTTAGACATCACATTGAAGCGAATCTATCAGTTTTAATTGGAGCCGTGTCCAACCAGGCTTATGTTATTAAAGTAAAAAAATATGAGATGCATCCGGAATATAAAAATATTGCCGAATCAATGGATTATGCTCTTCGTAATCTTGCCATTATTACAATTGCATGCGAGTATAAAATAGCATTATTATCATTTTTTAATTTAATCAATAAAAAATTACACATTTTTCTTGTCCATTAAAGAAAAACAATTAATTTATAAGTATCAAATTGATATCTACCAAAAAAATTCTCAAATTGTTAATACCACCGAGAGAAATATTTTGTTGGCGTTTCACAATGGAACAGAAATCTGAAAACGTACCGAAAACCCTAAAATAAAATTTATGTTATTCGATTACTTTCGATCTAGTTTAGATGCAACACTTTTTTTTTTAAAGTTGGAAATAAAAAATTTTATAGCTTTCTATATTACCGACCGACCGGTTAAAGATTTAGCTACCGCTATTAAAATGGCCGCCATTTTGTTATTTTTGAACATTTTTGAATTTTTCCAACGGATATTGAAAGTAAAAAAAAAAGTTCTTTCAAATGCAAAAAGAAAAAATAAGACATCTAAATTACTTTAAAAGTTATAACAATTTAAAGTTTTTTTCCCCTAAATTTTAGATAAACGACGTTTCAGCCTGCCTGATTTGAAATGAATTTGGTATTTATATTCTCCCCATATAAAATGTTTTTAATGTTCCTTTAATTATTTATTTATTTATTTCAGTAAACGGGATAAACCAGTATAAATGAGAATATAATCGTTTAATTATATGTTTAAATAACTAAATAAATAGAACTAAAACAATTCTAATAACTTAGAGGTCGTTCACAAACTACATCATGCTATTTTATTCCATTTTTTAATCCCCCTCCCCCACGTCACAAATTACTTGACCCCCCCCCTCCCCTCTTGAAGTGTGACGTAGTTTGTGAACGATACCTTATGATATAGTTCTAATAACTAGAAAATAAATATTTGCTTAATGTTTATAAGTTAATTTAAGTATATCATTGTTCCTAGCTGTGGGGGATATAAACATATTTAGTCGGGTTTGAAGTCTCGCTCCTATATGTAACGATTTGTGAAATATCAATTTTCTCTTTTGAAAATTGAAGTGAAATTTCTAATTTATACTAGTAAAATAAAATTCATATTTACAAAAATCATCATTAAAAATGAAAGTGAATAATGATGAAATTGTTTATCTTAGTTTAGCTGGTGTTTGGCGACCGAAATCAATAAATTCAAAATTTTTGGGACAATTTTATACAATTTACAGTTATTTTATATTAAAATTATTAATATCATTTGCAGTCTATATATTGATCTACATTTTTAAATTCTCCAAAGACGTGAATTCTTTTACACATGGTTTATTAGAATTCATCACTATTGTTCTAGGAATTATAAAAATGCAACAATTTAAATTCAGACAAGATGAAATTATTTCTGTTCACAAAATGTTGTTAGAAAACATTTGTCTACCACGAAATGAAAAGGAAAATTTAATATTAAAAGAATCTGAGGATTTTAACAGGTTATATATCAATATTATAAATTAATTAATAAATTCTTAATATTTAATAAATTAGTTTTTAATATTTGATTAACAGAAAGAAATTTAATGCACTTAGAATTGGATGTTATCTTAGCATTCTGTATTTATATCTCATACCTTTAATGAGTTCTGATAAAATGGCATTACCATTTCCAAATGTGTGGATCCCTCTTAATTTTGAAAGTACAATATACTATCGATTTATTTACTTATATCAAGTGATGGCTTCTTTTTTTGCATCAGTTATTATTTGTGAATGTGACATTTACATAAATCATTTTATTGACAAAATTTGTTCAGAATTAGAAGTATTCCATCACCGTTTATTTATTTTACCACGAGAAATAAATAACAATTTTAAATTAGAAAAAAGTCAATATGAATTATATATTATAGAGGATTGGTTACAGTTTCATTTGCATTTTATCAAGTAAGTATCAAAACAAAATATTAATTAAGACAATATAAAAAATTATATTATATAATTTATAATATTTATCAATTTTTCACAGAATGGTCCACAATTTCAATAAAACATTTAATTTAATAGTTTTTGTTCAATTTTTTATATCAATTTGTAGCTTGGGTATAATAATTTTTCATTTTACAAAAGTGGAACTATTTACAAAACACTTTTGGTATGTGTGCGTTTATTTGTTCAATTTTATTGCTGAAATCTTTATGTTTTGTTACAATGGAGAGAAACTAATTGATAAGGTACAAAAAATAAAAATAAATATTTTACTTATTTACAGCAGGGCCAAATTTATACATATATGCATGATAAGCAAAATAAGCAACTGCTTAGGACCACGGTTTGACAGGGGCCCCCAAATTTTTGTAAGGCTAAATTTTTTTTTCAAATTTTTAATTGCAATGATGTCACACACTCACTTCAATAATAATTTCTTTCAAAATATAAGTAAACAAAAACATTATTTTTTTCAATATCAGGGTGTCTAACAAGAATTGAGAAAAATATTCCCTGACTTTTCCATGATTCCTCCCTGACTTTTTATAATAACCTCATTTCTGCTTTCTTTGGACAAAAATTTGGTTACTGACATATTTAACAATAAATTTATTTCTAATGGTAGTAACAAATGGTACTAAAAACCATTCAAGTTTTTTTAGATTAAAAAATTTTTAAATTCACAAAAAATTTTAATTTTTGTAGAAATTTACAGAAATTTCCCTGACTTTGAATGAAATTTTCTAAAATTCCCTGACTTTTCCCTGACATTTCCCTGACCAACTAAAATTCCATGACGTTTCCCTGACCGTTAGACACCCTGCAATATAATTAAACTTGTTTGGATTTTTCTATACAGACTTCTGGTTTTCGATTAACCGCAATGCAATTTCTATTTTTCTTCTTTTTATAATTTCATTTCTCCTGATAATTCAGCAAAGAGAACATTAGCATATAATGCCATCTACATTTGGTAAAGAATAACTATTTCAAAGCTTACGCAACAAGATAGCTCAGCCCTGCCTTGACTATGTTGATCAGCTGCTATCAGAAAATCAACATGGCGCATCAGAATCACTGTAAACTTGATGGTATCATTTTGGAATGCAACGTTTTGATTCGATATAAGGTATCAAATTGATCCAAATATTTGAATCATTTTCAAGAAATGATCCAGAATATGGGATCATTTTTTGATACCTGAATTGGTATCAAAGTATAACTGTCATGGCTGGCATGCTCTTATTGACAAGTTTATTAATTAATCTATTCACTGCACTGAATATGCAGATATTAAAAATACTTTTATTATGAATTTTAAGAAAGAGAGAAGCGAAAACTTATAAATTGCGAGCAATTAAATAAGAAAAAATTTATTTCGAAATAAAATGAAATACACTAACCTTTATTTATATTTATCACATAAGATTTAAGGTTAAGTTGACAATCACAACACTTGGAAATTTTTTATTATTTTTATGGTTCAAATAATTATCAATAATTTATTTATTATAAAATGTCCGCTGATTAACACAGTCAAGGCAGGACTGAGCTATCTTGGTGCGTAAGCTTTGAAATAGTTATTCTCTACCAATATAGATGGCATTATATGCTAATGTTCTTTTTGCTGAATTATGAGGAAAAATGAGATTATAAAAAGAAGAAAAATACAAATTGCATTGGGATTAATCGAGAACCAGAAGTCTGTATAGAAAAATCTAAACAATTTTAATTATATTGAAAAAAATAATGTTTTTGTTTACTTATTTTGAAATAAATTATTGAAGTGAGTGTGTAACATCATTGCAATTAAAAATGTGAAAAAACGATTTAGCCTTACAAAAATTTGGGGGCCCCTGTCAAGCCGGGGTCCTAAGCAGTTAGGGGAATAGTGTCAGGGTTGGACACAGTTTTGGTTTTTTGTTTATAAATATTTTGTTTAGATAAATTCAGTCAATTGTGGTATATGGGTGGAAAGATCTACAAAAGAGGAACACTTTTGCTGTGGACCGTAAATTGATTGGTCCAAAATTAAAAAAGTTATAAACATTTAAAAAAAAAAAAATCTAGTCAGGGTTGGACTTTTCAGTCAGGGTTGGACACTTTTTGAAAATCGAAACGCATTATTGGTAAAAACGTAAAATAACATTTGTAATGTTTTTTATTCTTATTTTTTCATGTTTATCTTTACTTATTGTTTACAAATTGTAAAGCTTCATGGGTTTAAAAAAGGAATGAACTCAAATTACAAAAAATAACGCTTTATTGTTCCAAATAACTCAATGAAATGATGAACAAAATTTATACAATTTAAGTATTATTTTTCTAATATCTTTGGCACAATTTTGCACTGAAATATCAATAAAATAAAATTTATTTGTATATTTATTTATAAATTGTGTCAAATTCATATAATTAATATGGGTGTCCAACCCTAACTAGAAGCATCATTTTCGAATTGTGCTAACCATAACTAGACATGTGTCGCGATTCGAGTTTTCACTTTTTTTCTTCTTAAATTATGTACCCCACAATACATTCAATAAGCTTATCTTGCCGAATTCTTGCTTTTTTTACACATTTTTTTAGGTTTATTCACAAGTCAAACAAAACTTTTTTTGTCTCTTCGATTGCACCGAAGTCACAGGAGACGCTACTTTTGATTCTCCAAAAATGTAATGCCACAAAAAGTTAGGTTACACTACTAGAAGATTCGTCACGTACGCACACAGGTGGCGCTAGTGTTCTTATTTAAAAAAAACCAAGTGTCCAACCCTGACACTATTCCCCTACTTATTTTGCATGCATATAAATCCGTCCTTGTATAAATAAATAAAATAAAAATAATAAAAATGATTTACTTTTATTTATAGAGCACGCAAATTGTAAATTCCTATTATAATTTAAATTGGAATATGTTCAGTAAAAGTTCAAGAAAGTCATTGTTTGTTATGATGATACGAGCATCAAAACCAATGAAAATTGTAGGCGGACCATTTGTAACACTTTCGTTACACACGTTTGTTGTGGTATGTTTAAATTAGTATTAAAAAATTAAAGAAAAATTTTTTTTTTCTTCACCGTAAACCACATATTAAAACTATTCTTTTTTTTTAGATTTTAAAAGCAGCTTATTCGATTTTTAATGTTTTGCGATAAATTGATTAAAATCAAACTGTATGTATTTCGATTTTTACTTTGTGTGAATAAAAAATTAAAATCAAATTATTCTGTATATCTGATTTTGATTTTTTAAGTATGTAAATAAATAAAATATTTTTTCTGAAACTGTGTATTTAATTGTTTTTACAATGTATATATCACTGAGAAAAATGTTTAGTCAGAGCAACTAAAATTTGATTGGGCCAACAAAAAAATTCCGTTGGTATTTAAAGCAATCAAACTATTTATTTGAGTCACAAAAAAAAATTTAGTTGAGTGTTTTTTGTTGGCATAACAAAAATACTTTAAGTTTTAAAATAAAGCAATGAATATTATATGGTTTTCGGCATGTTTTCGTGTTTCTACCCCACTGTGCATTTATTAGAGACGCAAATAAAATATATTTAAAGCAAATAAATATATTATTTATCACAGAGACTATAATAAATTTTTATTTGTTAAAATAAATAAAAAAAAGTAAATAAATTTATTTAACACAAATAAAATTTTATTTAGCGCAAATAAAAATTTTCAATTAATTCAAATAAAATTTATTTGAAATAAATATTTATTTACCTCTGAGACAAGTATATATATCTTTTCACTGGGTGTAAAAATTTGTATCAATTTGGTACTTTTAGTTTCAATTAGATTTTTTAAAATTATAACTGTAAATAGAAAAAAAAAATTGTTTTATCAGTGGTTACAGAAAAAGGTTTAATTTTCAGTATACCAACGGAAGTTCTCAGCATTCCAACATTTCCGGCTAGATATGAAGATGTCTCTCATATGTGTTGTTCAGATACTTGTAAAATACTGACAATCATACAAACACCAACTGTAAGTGAAATTTAGTCTCTCGCAAGTAAAATTTATACATTAAACGATTTTTATCTTCATGAAGTTGACGTCGACGCTCAGCGTCAAAAATTATTTTTAAAAAGGTTTTCGGTTCACATAATACCTTGAAAAGTATTTCTCAAGATATTATTTGGACCGAAAATAATAAAAAAAATTAATTTGACATTTTTAGTCCTGTGAAAAACAATTTTCGGCGCTAAGTATCGACGCCAACTTCATGGTGGTCGATTTTTAATTTTTAAAAATTTAAGAAAATAAAAATATTCAATAAATAAAAAAATATATTTCGAAATTTAAAATAAATTGCAAAAATTTCCATAGAATAGACACAAGATCCAGCTTATGGATGCCAAGTACATTCCACGAGCAGTGCATGACGATATTGTGGAAATAAATAATTCGGAGAGAAGAAAAAAGGGAATTTCAATTGTGAAAAAAGTTAAAAGAGAAAATAAAATTGCACCACCTCCAATTTTTCTTAATAATGAATCATCAAAAAATACCGAAATTGTCGGTAAGAGAATTTTTAATTCGATTTTTAAAAATAAAAACAGCTCTCTAAATCTAAATTAGTAAAAATATTTACTAATTTGAATTAGTAACTCATTTTTTACTTATGAATTAGTAAAATTTTACTATAATTATTAGTAACTTTTACTAACAATTAGTAAAATTTAACTAATTCTAAAGCAAAAAGTGAGTCACTAATTTAAATTAGTAAACATTTTTACTAATTCAGATTTAGAGAGAGAATTTTGATTTATAGCTACATTTCTTAATGTTACAGATAAAAAAAATAGTGATAATAAAACAATTAGACAACTAACAAATTTAACAGGTAATGAGATTATTTTAATTTACAGAATTTTTATATATCATTATTATTTTATTTTATATTTTACATTTTCTGTTATAGAAAAATTCGGCTTAATTAATTTTAATTTCATTTAAAATCAATTCTATTAAATACAATTCTGCATACTGAAAATTCAGATTAATAATAATATTAATAGTAATAATAATAAAAAATAATAATTATTATTATTATTTTATATAGATAAAATAAATTTTAATAACATTAAAAAAACTAAAATAAATAAATCATAGAAGAAAACTTCATTTTTTCAGAAAATGGACTAATGGAAAAAATTACAGAAGAATTAATGCGAGGATTATTTAGAGAAAAATTTAGTCATAATTCAAATAAACTCACAATGAATAATACTGAAGAGATAATGAGAGGATTTTTTAGAGGAAATTTTGATATTGATACAAATAATAATAATAATAAAAATAATGGTCTATCTGAAGAGCAAACGAAAGCAATTTCGAAATTTATTAAAGTAATTACTGAAAAAGCCATGTCACGAGTATTGTCAGTTATAGACGAGGCAAAAAAGAATAAAACTTTTCCAAATTCAAAGGAAGAAGGAGAAATTGGTGAAAATTTTGTGGACAATATTGCGCAGATAGTTAAGGATAATGTTTTACGAGAAATTGATGGCTCACTAAGTCCAAGAAATTTATTTAATAATACACTCTCAGAGCCAAGTTCAAAATATATTCATTGTCCACCACTTGGAACACCAATAATTATAAACAAAACTTTGGTAATTTATAATATAATAACACAGGCCAATAAAATTAGAAATTTTTTTTTTGGTGAGGCAAAATTTAAGTACCTCTAGCACTGAAACAAAAAGTCGTAGAACCTTCCAATTGGGCTTAAATTGAAGCTCAATGTTTCAACTATATAATCCTCAAAAATCAACTTTCTTACACCATGACCTTAAAGTCATTTGTAATCCATTTTTGAGTTGCAAAAATTAATTTTGGAATAATTTAAGTGCGTACCTCCAGCGATGAAATGAAAGATCATATAACCTTTTTTTTGGCTTAAACTAAAATTTAAACTTTAGACTACAATCCCTAAAAATTATATTGATGCAACAATAACCACAAAAATTTTTGGTAACCATTGTTAAAATAGCTTCCTTTGTTGAAAGTAAACAATTTATTACCAATGACTTTGAGGTTAAGATGCTGGAAATTAAATCTTTACTTGATTAAATCCTAAATCATAAGTTTCAATATCTGTAAGATCTGAATTCTTATTTCCAATGTCTTAAAATCCTAAGCTTTTAAATCCTAAAACTTAACGTCTTTAAGGTCTAAATCCTAATTTTCTAAATCTGAAAATTCTCAATTTTAACTATCTAAATCCTAAATGTTTATGTTTTTAAGACCTAAATTATAAGTCCTAATATGTCTACAATCAAAATCCTCAATTCTAAGCCTGGAAATTCTAAATTCTAATTATTAAATTAAATTAATTAAATTCTTAATCATGTAAGTCTTAACACCTATAAGATATAAATTTTTATTTCCTAAATCCTTAAATTCTATGCATAAGCTTTCAAATTCTAAATCCTAATTTCCTAAGTTTCATTCTTCTAAATATCTAAATCCTTAATCCTAAGCTAGTAATTTCTAAATTCTTATTATCTAAATCCTAAGTCTTTATGACATTAATTTCTAAAGCATATAAGGCTTAAAACCAATAAGATCTAAATCCTTATTTCCTCAGTCTTAAAATCCTAAGCTTTTAAATTCTAAATCCTAATTCCCTAAGTTTCAAAGTTTTAAATATCTAAATCCCCAATCCTAAGTCTATAAATTATAAATATAACACACGCCAACAAAATTTAAAAAATTTTTTGGTGCAGCAAATTTCAAAGCTGTTTCTAATAGGTTTTTAACAAAATTTAAGTACCTCTAGCACTGAAACAAAAGGTCGTAGAACCTTCCAATTGGGCTTAAATTGAAGCTCAATGTTTCAACTATATAATCCCCAAGAATCACCTTTCTTACTCCATGACCTCAAAGTCATTTGTAATCCATTTTTGAGTTGCAAAAATTAATTTTGGAATAATTTGAGAGCGTATACCTCCAGCGATGAAATGAAAGATCATATAACCTTTTTTTTAAAATTTTTAGGTTAAAGCCAATATATTTCAAATTAAAAGATGTTTTTTTCATTTTGGCCTAAATGGCCAAATTTAGGCCAAAATGAAAAAAACATCTTTTAATTTGAAATAACCTTTTTTTGGGCTTAAACTAAAATTTTAACTTTAGACTACAATCCCTGAAAATTAATTTCCAGCATCTTAACCTCAAAGTCATTGGTAATAAATTGTTTACTTTCAACAAAGGAAGCTATTTTAACAATGGTTACCAACAATTTTTGTGGTTATTGTTGCATCAATATAATTTTTAGGAATTGTAGTCTAAAGTTTAAACTTTAGTTTAAGCCCAAATAAAAGGTAGGGGAATAGTGTCAGGGTTGGACACAGTTTTGGTTTTTTGTTTATAAATATTTTGTTTAGATAAATTCAGTCAATTGTGGTATATGGGTGGAAAGATCTACAAAAGAGGAACACTTTTGCTGTGGACCGTAAATTGATTGGTCCAAAATTAAAAAAGTTATAAACATTTAAAAAAAAAAAAATGTAGTCAGGGTTGGACTTTTCAGTCAGGGTTGGACACTTTTTGAAAATCGAAACGCATTATTGGTAAAAACGTAAAATAACATTTGTAATGTTTTTTATTCTTATTTTTTCATGTTTATCTTTACTTATTGTTTACAAATTGTAAAGCTTCATGTGTTTAAAAAAGGAATGAACTCAAATTACAAAAATAACGCTTTATTGTTCCAAATAACTCAATGAAATGATGAACAAAATTTATACAATTTAAGTATTATTTTTCTAATATCTTTGGCACAATTTTGCACTGAAATATCAATAAAATAAAATTTATTTATAAATTGTGTCAAATTCATAATTAATATGGGTGTCCAACCCTAACTGTATAAAGTGTCCAACCCTAACTAGAAGCATCATTTTCGAATTGTGCTAACCATAACTAGACATGTGTCGCGATTGGATTTTTCACTTTTTTTCTTCTTAAATTATGTACCTCACAATACATTCAATAAGCTTATCTTGCCGAATTCTTGCTTTTTTTACACATTTTTTAGGTTTATTCACAAGTCAAACAAAACTTTTTTTGTCTCTTCGATTGCACCGAAGTCACAAGAGACGCTACTTTTGATTCTCCAAAAATGTAATGCCACAAAAAGTTAGGTTATACTACTAGAAGATTCGTCACGTACGCACACAGGTGGCGCTAGTGTTCTTATTTAAAAAAAGCCAAGTGTCCAACCCTGACAAGTGTCCAACCCTGACACTATTCCCCTACTATGGCCTTTTTGTTTCATTGCTAAAGGTACGCGCTCAAATTTTTCCAAAATTAAATTTTGCGACTCAAAAATGTAATACAAATGACTTTGAGGTCATGGTGAAAGGTACTTTTTCGGGATTGTGGTAAAAACCTTTATCTTCAATTTAAGCCCAAATGGAAGGTTCTACGACCTTTTGTTTCAGTGCCAGAGGTACTCAATGTTTGTCAAAAACGCGATTTCTTGTCAATTTTAAACCCGTTTTGCTCAAAAATTAGAGCTGATAGAAACTTTTCGTTTACGGATTTGTGTTCAGCATGAAAAAACCTATCATAAACAGCTTTGACAATTGCCGCACCAAAATCAGTGTTGACCTGTGTAATAAAAATAATAAAAATAGTAATAATAATAATAATAATTTTAAAAGAAAATTTAAGTTCGAATATTTCCGAGTAAAAAAAGCATTTTTTATGAAAATTTTGCCAAATAAAAATTCAATAATTTTTAATTGGACACCACAAAAATTTCGACAGATATAATGTATATGTATATGAGAAATATTCATGAATTCTGAATTTATTCTAGATTGGATTAGTTGCCTATACATGTGATGATCTTCAAAGTTGGGTACCATGGCAATATGTAAATATTGAAAAAAATTTAAATTGGATTAAAAACACAATAAAAGGGCATAAAAATGATTTTACAAAATTGCAATCAACATTCGATGACGATAATGATAATGTTCAAATTTTACAAGAATCAGAAAAAAATGATGATGAGAAAATTAATAAATATTCCGATGAAGAGGAAAATGGATCGACATATATGTCAGACAATGTTGATGAAAGATTTAAAAAAGATCAACAGGCAAATTTAAAATTAACAGATAAAAAACGACGACATTATCAAAATATTATTAAACCAATTTTAACTAATTTTTAAAAAAATAAGAATTCTACTTCATTTTTATTTAATAATAATAATAGTAATAATAATGATAAAAAGTCAGATAGAAAAAAATTATTAAACAAAAGAAATTACAATGAGAGTCCTCGAGTTTTGGTAAATAAGTGTTCTTCACCAAAAGATGGTGAGTTAAATTGTCAATCAAATGTTATTTTGGATAGAAATTAAGTGAAAGAAAATTAAACATAATAGATTTTAATTGTTACAATACAGACCGTAATGGTAACCATATAGATTAGAAATTTTACAATACAGATTGTAATGATCACAATACAAATTGAAAGTTGTACAATTCAGACTGTGATGGTTACAATACAGATTGAAACTTTTACAATACACTCCATAATGGTTACCATATAGATTGAAAATTTTACGATACAGATTGTAATGATCACAATACTGATTGTAATGTTTATAATGCAGATAAAAAATTTTAAATACAAATTGTAATTTTATAATGCAGATTGTAAACATACAGTTACAATATAGATTATATGTATGTCAAAACACAACACTGAAAAAATTATATTCTATAGATTAAAGGATTTTTTTCTTAAATAGGCGCCAAAAAATATTCCCCCACTTAAATTAAGTGGGAAATATTCTTACAATAAGTAATATATTCTTGGTGCCAATTTAAGAAGAAATTCTTAAATCAAGAATATAATTTTTTCAGTGAAGGCAAACTTTACAATAAAAATTATATTAAAAGTTACTATGCCTTTTGCGCAAATATTACAATATATATTGTAAATCATACAATATTTTTATCAGTGTAAAAAATTTAACTATGTTATAAGCATAGAAAATATATGCCGTTAAGACAGAAAAGTACATAAATAAAGATTTATAATTTATTATAATAAGTAAATTTCAAAATACAACAAATGCAAAAGTGGAAAAATTTTCTGTTTTACATTTACTTCAAGTCAAATATTTTTTTAAATTTAAATAAGCTGAAAAATATTTCTGTAACAACATTTACGAAACAATATATATATTTTGTTTTATTAAAGAAATAGCAAATATAAAACTGTTTCAAGAGTCTCTTTCAAAATTTTCCAATACAACATTTTTGTAAGTGAAACTTTCGTAGCATTTAACTTTTTAAGGAAAATATTTATCGCATTCTATTCATAAAAACTTTTTTTTTTTTTTTTTTTGAAAAGTCATGCGGTTGAAATTAGAATTGTTCAAAAGATTTAGTAACGCTCGCGCTCTAAAAGAGAATATTTCCCATCACAGGAAATATCATCGGCGCGGTTAGAAAGTCACAATAAATTACATTTCAAGAACACGCTTTCCCCCTAATAATTTTTGAAACAGAGAATTGTTATAATATTAATTTTTTTTATATAGATATTAATAATTAATTTTATTCCGAAATAAAACTGATTAATACGAAAAAAAGGGGACGCATGATTATATTCTAAAAATCATTAGTTAGAATTTTCATTTTATGAAATTTCATTTGTCATAATTATTTTTAAGATGAATTTTTATTTGTTCAAATTCGTATATTTTGCAGAATTTTCATCAAAACAATTTTCTATATTACAGAATTTTTATATAACCGAAAATTCACTTCACAGAATTTTTATTTCTTCGAATTTTCATTTAACACAATAGGCATTTTAAAAAATTTTTATTGGGTATAGAATTTCATTGCATAGAATTTTTTTCATTTGTTCGAATTATTATTTGATATAATTTCCATTTATAACCGATTTTTCATACTACAAAATTTTTACTTAACCGAAAAATAATTTAAAAGAATTTCTAATTGATATAGAATTTTTATTTGTCCGAAATTTCAAATGGCTGAACAAACAATCGATTTCGGCGCGATTTATAAAATCAACCAATCAAAAATTATCTATAAAATTGTGATTGGTTGATTTTAAAAATCGCGCCGAAATCGATTGTTTGTTCGGCCATTTGAAATTTCGGACAAATAAAAATTCTATTAATTAGAAATTCTGTTAAATGATTTTTCGGTTAATTATAAAATTCTGTAGTATGAAAAATCGGTTATAAATGGAAATTATATCAAATAATAATTCGAACAAATGAAAATTCATCTGAAAGAATAAAATGAAAATTCTATGCAATGAAATTCTAAACAATAAAAATTTTTTAAAATTTCTATTATGTTAAATGAAAATTCGAGAAAATAAAAATTCTGACAAATACACCCAGAGAAATGATTTATTTGAATCAAATAAAATATATTTGTGTTAAATAAACGTATATTCGTCTCAGAGCCTACTACTAACTTATTTATTTGGCGTAAATAAAAATTTTATTTGTCAGAAATAAATTTTTCTTTCGCTCAAATAAATTTTTTTATTTCAATGAAATAAAATATATTTGCAACAAATATATAAACGAGATAGTTGGCTCGGAGACAAATATATACCATTTCTCTGAGTGTAAAAATTCGAACAAATAAAAATTCTGTAAAGTGAATTTTCGGTTATATAAAAATTCTACAAAATACGAATTCGAATAAATAAAAATTCGGTTCAAAAATAATTATATGACAAATAAAATTCCATAAAATGAAAATTCTTTAAAAATTTAAAAAAAAATTTTTTACGTATATAAAATTATATAAACTGTAATTAATTTTTTCTTGGCACAATTTGTAATTTTTTTCATAAAAGTCAATTAAAATAAAAACTACTTACTCAGAGGTTTCGAGATACTGGAAGACCCTGTAAATAGGGCGTCGATACATGAAGAGGTGACCCTCGACACGCTCCACCATCATCCTAATAATCTCTTCATTCAATACAATAAACAAACTCCCATAAAACCACTTCACTTATATATTCCAAGAAAAATAAATTTTTCCTTTTGAATTAATCACATTAGATTTTCAGTTTTTTTTGTATTAAAATTTTACACACACACGCACAGACACTTTTTATACAAAATAATTGTAAAAAAAGTGTTTGGTTTTCAATTTTTTTTTTTTTTGTAATTTTGTATTTCTTTGTATATATCCTTTTGCCTCTCCTCCTCTCTCTCTCTCTCTGGGTTATATCTCCGTGGTTACTGCATTACCGGAGTGGATCGATTACTCGTACAAGACTGAACCACGGTTCGATAAGTCCATTAACTGATTTCCTTACCACAAAGTAACACTCACAAAAAAACTTTTTATTTTCTTTATAATATCTCTCTTGAATGAAATATTTATATTCTTCAACCGTTATGAACTTGAGGATATTATAAAGTGTTTTTCTCTTTTTTTTTTTTTATTAATGTCTTGACTCACTTATTATTAGATGTATTGTTTCAGTTATAAATGATCACAGAACTTTAATTGCATCGTACACAATAAAGGCATATTCTATAAAAATATTAAATTATAATTAAAAATTTAATTTTTCTAAATTTTTTTTTTTTTATTAAAAAATAATAACAGGGTTGCCACAATATTTTTATTTCCAGACAGAATTTAAATTTTTTTTTCCCTATCTCAAATGAAAATATTTCAAGAGGTTTTCACACCCAAGAGAAATAATATAATATTTGTTTCAGAACCAAATAAATATTTATTTGATTTAAATAAATTAATATTTGATTTACATAAATTAATATTTGATTTAAATAAATTTTAATTGGACCAAATATAAAATTTTATTTACGCCAAATAAATGGGCTAGTAGGCTCTGAGACAAATATACGTTTAATTTAACTCAAATATATTATATTTTGTTCAAATAAAACATTTCTCTGGATGTGCAATTATAACAAATTATACAATAATTTTTAAAAGCAAAAAGTTTGAATTGAAAATTTCAAAAATTTGTAATTTTAGTAGCATTTTCACGAAGCTGAAGTATACGCAACGTTTATATAAACGATTTTTAAAGAAATAATTTTTTAAAATGAAAAATTCTATAATTTTTTGCCTAAAAAATATTTTTTTATAATTTCTTGATTAATGAAAACTACAAGAAATATTTTTTAGGCAAAAAATTATAGAATTTTTCATTTTAAAAAATTATTTCTTTAAAAATCGTTTATATAAACGTTGCATACTTCAACTTCATGCATTTTCAGAAATTTGAAATTTTTCCAGTATTTGCAAAAAATATTTTTGAGACAAAAATTTCATAAAAAATTTTTCATTAAAAATTCAAATTTATTTTATGTGCAATAAATTTTTAATTAATAACCACACTGAAAAAAGAATTTATATTTGTTTCAAATAATCGGTTACTTGACTATATGTATAATTATCAAATAAATATTTTTCTTTAAACGAAATAATTTTTATTTAAATCAATTAATAAATTTAATTTTTTTTTTTTTAATATAAAAATTATTGGTTTAATTAAATACAGTTTATATTATTGATTCAAATAAAAATTATTATGCACATATAAATATTTATATGATACAAATAAATATTTATTCGATAATAGTTAAGTTACTTTAGAGATAAATTAATTTTGTTTTCCAAATGATATTAAAAAATAATAAAATTATTTTTACAATCAATTATAAATCCTAGAATTATATATATATTTTAAAAAAATAAATAAATAAATAAATATTAAATTTTAATTGAAAATTTTGAATGTTGAAGAAAATTGTTTTTTATTATTTTTAAAATTAATGTGAGATAATTATAATAATAAGGGTGACAAAAAAAAAAAATAATAATTTGCACAAAATCTCCCATATAAGTATATATCCACCACTCGAGAGAACGAGATAAGGGTCTCATTTTCCCTCTGCTCTCGAGAGTTTTAAGGTCATTGGCTTGACTCGAGAGCCCTCAGTGTGTGAAGTTTTCCAGAAAATTTGGTAATATTCTTGAAAACTTTCCCTTAACTCCAATAATATATAAAGTTTCATTTCTCCTCTCGAAAGTTAACAGATTGTTCAAACGATCATCAAAATTTTTATTTTACAATCTTTCCACGAACTATATAATATTATCATTTATAAAGTTTCAATTTTAATATGTTTCGCGCGTTCAATATAATAACAAAGAGATAAAAAAGAAAATTTTTCGTCTCAATATTACGAAAATTGAATTTATAAAGTTTTTATAAAATTCAATCAGAAATTAATTTATCAATTATTTGTTAAAATTTGATTTTTAGTAAAAAAAAAAAAAATATTACTAAATTAAATACTACCTATAATTATTTTACTAAAAGTTAGTGAAAATTTCTACTATAATATTTAGTCATTTTTCACTAAAACTTTAGTAGAAAAAAATATTACTAAATCATGTAATATTTGACTAAAAAAAATTAGTAAAAAATTTCTACTAATTTTTAGTAATTTTTTTTTACAAAAACTTTAGTAGAGAAAAATATTACTAAATCACATAGTAGTATTTTACTAAAATTTATTGAAAATTTCTACTAATTTTTAGACATTTTTAACTAAAACTTTAGTGAAAAAAAAGTATTACTAAAATAGTAACAATTTACTAAAAATTAGCAAACGAATTCTCACTAACTGTAAGTAAAAAAAAAATTATTTCTTCTATATTTTAATTTAAATAAAATTTGAAAAAAAAAATCAATGACACAAACAATATGGTATCGGAAGAATCAGTTTGCCCAAACTTGCAACAATCAAATAATGAAAAAAAAAATTATTTATTTTTTTTTTTTTTGAAATAAAAGCAACAATTTTTCCATCTCGAGAAATAAAAACAAAAGAAGAAACAAGAGACAAAAGAAAGTAATTGACAATATTGACAGTGGTCAGTGAGAATTAAGTTGCGCAATGTCTATACACACGCGGAACAAACTCAAAGACTCGCCAAATATAATTTCCATGAAAAGCACAACTTTTCCGACACTATAAAAAAAAAAAAAAAATTAAAAATCACTCTCGCAATATAAAACCCAAAAAAAAAATCACAATTCACAATTAATTTCTTTTTTTCTAATTCACTTACTGCAGGCGAAGTTTTACATTGAAAAAAACACGTTCCGAATGACTCGAAAACTATATCTAGAGAGAATAAATATATATATGTATATATAGTTTTGGGAATTTTGGGCGGTATCCAGAGAGCCCCGCGGGCGTTTTATCGAAATGACCTTGACTCTGCAGGATAAACTGCTTACGAGAGTCTAGACTTCTCTAGAGAGAGAAAAGGATCTCGCCATGGCGTGGACGGACTAGAAGGTTCGCCGGGAAAACAAGCACCTAGCAACACTGTGTGCCGGCATTAAGGGGAGCAGGCGCTCTGTTGGGTGCGGCAAACGCGCCGCGACGCCCGGCGTCCTTTCCTATCTCTCTCTCTCACTCCCTCTCTTACTCTGTTTGCTCTCTCCTTTATTTTCACCCCCTCAATGCGGCGGCACCCCTGAGATACATGGAAGAGCCGGCTACTATTTTCTCCCTTCTGCCCTTTATCCAACAACCAAATCCCATAACCCCCTCATCGCTAACACACACTTTCCGTGCAACAACTATGCGCAAAAATCCCCCCCACCCCCCACCTCCTTTTAACCTAACAACTTCACTTTGTTATATTTCTTGAAAGTAATTTAGAAAAAAAAATTTATTTTTGTTTTTAATATAAAATTAAAGAAATTTCGAATTTTAACTGAAAGAACGATTTTTTAAAAGTCCGAATTACCAAAAGATCGAATTTCTGAAATCCGAATTTACCAACAGATCAAATATCTAAAGGTTCGAATTATCAAAAAATCGAATTTCTGAAGTCCGAATTAACCAAAAGTCCGAATTACAAAAACATCGAATTTATAGAGTCCGAATTACCAAAAAATAATATATTTGAAAGTTCGAATTACCAAAAGATCTAATTTCTAAAAGTTCGAATTTCTGAAATCCGAATTTACCAACAGATCAAATATCTAAAAGTTCGAATTATCAAAAAATCGAATTTCTGAAGTCCGAATTAACCAAAAGTCCGAATTACAAAAACATCGAATTTATAGAGTCCGAATTACCAAAAGATAATATATTTTAAAGTTCGAATTACCAAAAGATCTAATTTCTAAAAGTCCGAATTACCAAAAGATCTAATTTCTAAAAGTCCGAATTACCAAAAGATCTAATTTCTAAAAGTCCGAATTACCAAAAGATCTAATTTCTAAAAGTTCGAATTACTAAAAGATCTAATTTCTAAAAGTCCGAATAACAAAAACATCGAATTACCAAAAGATAATATATTTAAAAGTTCGAATTACCCAAAAATCTAATTTCTAAAAGTTCGAATTAAAAAAGATCGAATTTTTAAACGTCCGAATTACCGAAATATATTATTTCTAAAAGTTAGAATTATCAAAGAACGATTTTTTAAAAATCTGAATTACTAAAAGATTGAATTTTTGAAATCCGAATTACCAAAAGATCAAATATCTAAAAGTTCAAATTATCAAAAAATCGAATTTCTGAAGTCCGAATTAATCCCTTAACTGTTGATGACGAAGATTTTGGCCATCCAATCTCTGTCATCGCAGTTAAAAGGTTAACCAAAAGATCAAATTTCGAAAAGTCCGAATTACAAAAACATTGAATTTCTGGAGTCCGAATTACCAAACGATAATATATTTAAAAGTTCGAATTACCAAAAGATTTAATTTCTAAAAGCTCGAATTTAAAAAAGATCGAATTTTTAAATGTCCGAATTACCAAAATATCTTATTTCTAAAAATTAGAATTATCAAAGAATTGAATATTTAATAGTGTAAATAACAAAAAGATTGAATTTCTGAATTCCGAATTAGCAAAAGATCAAATATCTAAAAATTATTAAAAAACTGAATTTCCAAAATTACGAATTATCAAAAAATTGAATTTTTATAAGTTCGAATTATTGAAAAACTAAATTTTTAAAAATCCGAATTTTCTAAAAATCAAATTTCCAAATGATCCAATTTTTTAAAAATTTAAATTATCAAAAAATGACAGAAATTTCAATTCATCCAATTTTAATTTGCCCTACTTTTTATTTGTACGAATTTTTAAGACGCCCAATTTTCATTTGTTCGAAATTAGAAATGACCGAACAAAGAATCAACAAAAAGAGTCCGTCGCGTCGTAATTTTAAAAATTGACCAATTAGAAATTATCAAAAAAATCATGATTGGTCAATAATTTGAAAAATTACGCCGAAATTTTTCTGTGGATTCTTTCTGTTCGGCTATTTATATTTTCGGGCAAATGAAAATTCGTCGTTTTAAAAATTCTATTAAATAAAAATTCATACAAATTATTATAAAATTCGTTGAAATCACAGTCTCTCTGTACATCATCATCGCATATATGATGCAAGTAAAATTTGTTTTTAACAGGACGCATGCTTATGTTCTAAAAATTATTAGTTAAAATTTTCATTTTATAGAATTTTATTTGTCATAATTATTTTTGAGCCGAATTTTTAATTTGTTCGAATTAGTATTTTGCAGAACTATCATCAAATCGATTTTCTATATTACAGAATTTTTTTATATATATAACCGAAAATTCATTTCACAGAATTTTTATTTGTTTGAATTTTTATTTGTCAGAATTTTTATTTGCTCGAATTTTCATTTAACACAATAGGCATTTTAAAGAATTTTTATTGGGTAGAATTTCATTGCATAGAATTTTCATTTTATTCTTTCAGATGAATTTTCATTTGTTCGAATCAGTATTTGATATAATTTCCATATAACCGATTTTTTACACTACTAAATTTTTACTTAAACAAAAAATCATTTAACAGAATTTCTAATTGATAGAATTTTCATTTGTCCGAAATTGTAAATGGTCGAACGAACAATCGATTTTGGCGCGATTTTTAAAATCAACCAATCACAATTTTATGGATAATTTTTGATTGGTTGATTTTAAAAATCGCGCCGAAATCGATTGTTTGTTCGGGCATTTGCAATTTCGGACAAATGAAAATTCTATCAATTAGAAATTCTGTTAAATGATTTTTTGTTTAAGTAAAAATTCTGTAGTATGAAAAATCGGTTATATGGAAATTATATTAAATACATGGAGAGAAATTTCTAGGAATATTTACCGTGCTGTCACCTGAAAGTGAGTGCAAATTACATTCTGACAGTTTTTACTGTGCTGCCTCTACAATCTGTAATGCAAAATTGTAGGGGCAGCACGGTAAATATTCCTAGAAATTTCTCTCCATGTATAATAATTCGAACAAAAGAAAATTCATCTGAAAGAATAAAATGAAAATTCTATGCAATGAAATTCTACCCAAAAAAAAATTCTTTAAAATGCCTATTATGTTAAATGAAAATTCGAGCAAATAAAAATTCAGACAAATAAAAATTCGAACAAATAAAAATTAGGTGAAGTGAATTTTTGGTTATATAAAAATTCTGTAATATAGAAAATCATTTTGATGAAAATTCTTGCAAAATACTAATTTGAACAAATAAAAATTGGACTCAAAAATAATTATATGACAAATAAAATTCCATAAAATGAAAATTCTAACTAATGATTTTTAGAACATAATCATGCGTCCATTTTTAACAAAATAATTTCTGATACATATCGCAGTATATACGGCATGTGTGTGTGTGTTTTAAAAAGATTTTATTTCTTGACATCAAAGGTTCTACTTGGTATAGCAATGTTGTATATAGATATGCAACGCTGCGCAAGTTTCTCATGCGTGTACGCATACGTATATTATATATTTAGAAAGAATATAAAAGGCAATAAAAAAAACATTAAGAAAAAGTTGTATATACTCAAATTCCTCAAGTCTTTCGTGCTATAAGGTCAGAAAAAGGGGGATGAAGAAGTTTTTCATCTTCATCATGTCTATATACAAGCAGGTGCAAAAATTACCTCATGTTCACATGACGACGAAACGAAAAAAAAAAAAAAACGTTCATTGTGAGAAAAATGAGGATAATGATGACAATTTCCTGAGGCTCTATTTTATACACATATATATAAAGGATTGAATGCAGAAAAACGAGTTGATTGATGTTTTTAATATGATTAATGTGATTAGATATACATAAATGAAAGAGAAAATGATTGACAGGCTTTCTTCATTAAAATTGACATCTTGGGAATTACCGCGCGCACTTGGAAAAATGGGGTCAACAATTTTATTCTTTTGAAAGTTTTTTTATCATTACAGATCTACTACCCTATTGAGAATTTTTGTATTTCAAAAAAAGAATATTTGTGAACGTTATTATTAGATACTATACTGTATATATATATATATATATATATCATTAGAACAAGTTTATCAGTGAGTTAATTAAATAATAATGAATCCCTAAGAGGCATTAAAGAATAGTTCCCCCTTCCTTTGGAATTCTTTTCATTGAAATTAATCACAAGATTATCTAAAAAAAAAAAAAAAATTACACACTATTCAACTTCAGTTTATCATTCCAGGAACTAGACAGACACATATAAGGTACATGTAAATTGTATACAGTGTCTGAAATATTTAGAGTGACCAATGGCCATTATAGTCACGATATGGAACGAACGTTCTTCCTGTTTGCGTGCATACCTAACTACATATATACGCATAGGAATAATTCTCTGTTAACTAACTAAAGGAATATATGCATTTGATGCAAATTACTGTTAACCGTTACATATGCAACTTTTCCATCAAGGGTTGGAAAATTATCATTATTATTATTATTATTACTATTATTATTATTGACATTATTAGGTATTATTATTTTGCAAGGTAGAAAGTAAAAAGATACAACAATTTTGAAACCTATTTTACGATCCAAGTGATAGAAATTGTTGAATAGAATCTGTAGTGATTTTTTAGGGTCCTTGATTTAAGAATATTGAAACTAGATTTTTTTTTGTACGCCCTATCAACTAAATTATTTAAAACAGTTAATTTATATATTTTTGGTTGATGTCAAAATGAAGATATTTTCCTGTTGCAAAATAGAGTCCATTTGCAAATACTAACAATGTTGTCCATGCATTGCAAAATTTAATTTTGACAAACAAAACGTTTGCTTGGTATTTAAGAAAAAATAATTTTTTTTTGCCTCAAAATTTTGACTGCCTCAATCAAACTTTGGTTGACAAACCAAAATAAAAAAAAAAAGAATTTGTCTTAATTAAAAGATTGGACAAACTAAAATTTTTTTTTGACGCAATGGAAACATTTTTG